GTACTAATTACTATTCTGTTCATATAATCATTCATTGTTTAAGGTGACTTTGCAGTCATTAGTATAAGACTTCAACATTTCTTGTAATGCAGGTCAATTTAATCATTCATATTGCAAATGAAAAATTCCAGGTTAGGCAAAATATTAATGACCATTGTGTATGTGCAATCACTTAGAATATTGTAATGTATTCCTCGGCATTTAGAAAGATGCTGTGACATAGTGATCTAGATTTATCCTGAGTTATAAGATGTTTTGGTGCTCTGGAAATCTGGGGCCATGAAAAGTTTCTAAGGCAGCTGGAGAAGTTGTACAAACAGACCTGCACTGAGTAGGCAGCTGATTAGAGCAGGGATTCATTGCATTAAGAAGACAGAGTTAGTTAATAAAAATAAAGTTATCATTTCAAGTGGTCATTTCAGAGAAAGGAATGAAGGTGCCTAGATAACCAGTAATTCTTACTACTAACATCATGTCTAGAGTTTTGAAGGAGAAATGAGGGCTCGATAAAGAGTAAACTGTGTAGATCATCCAGTTCCAAGTAGTTCAGGGGACAGCTCCACCCCCAAGCCCCCTGAGATAGTTTTATTAAAGCATGGATTGCCTGGAATAAAGGAAGTAAACAATCATCTGGGGAAGTGCAAATTTTGTGTTTCACTATCACTTTCTTGGTGGGATAGGTAGGGTTAAAATTGATGTTTTGTAGTAGTAATGAAGGATTTTATTAAGTGGGTTCAATTGGGCCTTTGGATCTGTCATGTCATTGGCTACTTAAAGTTGTGCTCATTGTGATTCAGAAATAGAATATCATTGTTACAAATGACCTGATCTATCCTGTCTGATGCCTTTATTTTATGGAAGAAAAACTAAAGATAAGTGGAGATAATTTTGTTACCTAGGACAAGGCTCAGGTCTTTCTCTGCTCTGGACTTGCAGAATGAGCTCATAGAAACCACGTAAAGTTTTTGGAGCTTAGTTTCTCAGTAAAATTGAATAATTAAATTAACTTAGCTCTAAAGCTCCCTCCCAGCACTAAAAGTCACTAGGTTTAGAAATCTTCTGTGTTCACTCTTTTCAGGAAGATAGCTCCCTAAGTGTTCTGAAGAGTTAAGTGCTATGTGACTTAGGAATGATTTATTTCTCAAACAAATGTAGCCTGGGATGGGGTGTTGGGGTCTGTGATAAAGATGGTTGACCCAAGCACATTGATTCAGTGCCTAAATTAAGCATCTTAGACATGACACCAGGGAGTAGAAGAATTTACTGATATGGATTAAGATCCACTGTCCATTAAAGTAGTAGGTGCCAAAGAGACATGGCTACTTTGACAAATGTCCTCACCCCCACTCCTGGGCCTCTAATTTGTCACTTTGTAGTCTCCAGGGAAGGCCTTCCCTCTTGTTTTACAGCCTATTGTTCCCCCTCACACACACACTTCTAAATCTTATAAGTACTATTAACTCCAATGTCCCATAGTCTACAAATTTACAGTTCAGTATTTATCAAAGGGAACCTCAAGGAACTTAACCCCACACTCCCTAACAATTCTCAACTTCCTTCCAAAATAAGCCAGATTAGCACAAACCTTTGTAGACATAGTGTCCTTGGCAAATACAAACTAGGGATATGCTTTCTAGTCTGTTTTCCAACTGCATTGCTGCAGTTTGAATCCTTTTCTACATAGTCACTGTAGGAACTTCAAATGAGCTTCACTGTGAGCCCACCTGATTGGTGCGTTTTTCCGAGAGGTTTGAGGAATCTTCTCAATGTTGATCATCAGACACTTTATCTGTCTGGTTTTGAAGGGAGAGAGCCTTGGCAAGGGAAAAAGGGCAGCAGCACATCTTTCCCATCTTGTTGGTACAGTTAGTATCAACTTACAATGGAACATGGGCTCCATGAGGACTGGGATTTTTGTCTGTTTTACTTACTATTGTGGTTTCATCAATTAGCACAGTATTAACCACATGGTGTGAAACAGATCATGTTCACTGGTTACCATCTTCTTTGAGTCCAGTCAGACAGAACTCTCAACACTGGTTGCATGAAGCAGATTTCTTATTCATAGATAGCCATAAGGAACAACAGAATCCTAAAATTTATTGTAGTCCACTCCCCCACAGCAAATAAAGCCACGCATATAGATATATTCTTGACTATGCATGTCCTGTTTCCATCACAGATGAGCGACCATGAAAAGTAGTCTGTCCTGGGTTTTATGCCTTGGGAGATACATGAGAGGTAGACTAAAGCACTGAAGACATCCTGTTCTAGGAGAGCTGGAATAGAGTCTGGGCTGTTCTGTCAGCTCCCTTCCTATGTCATGACGTTGCATTCTGGCATATTCTACAGTTAACTATTCAGAACAATAAACAAGAAATGATGGAGAACTGGGTCAAAACAGGACCACCTAAAGAAGCATTCTGCCCATGGTAGGCACTAAGCAATCCTGGCTGAATGGCCGATGAGCAAGTCACATAGCAGAGTGATTAGGGCACAGACTGGAGCCAGGCTCCCTTGACCCAAATTCCAGCTGAACTGCTAATTCGCTCAGCATGTGGGCAAGTGAACTATCATCTCAGCACTTCAGTTTCTTCCTTTTGAAACTAGAGATGATAATAATACTATATCTCAAAGAGAAGTTATTCAGGTTAAATGAATGAATGTTTATCAGATGATTATAGCCAGTGCCTGTCATGTATCATAAATGTTTAGTAAATAACTAGATTAATCAGTTGGCATGCCCCACTTCTGTTCCCACCAGTATTAAGGTTTTATTTTGAGTTTGTGAGAACACATGCTAATTTGTTGGAACAGACCCAAACACACTTTCACCTTAAGACATTCAGAATTGCAATTTTTTACTTAAACAATGCTATAACAGAGCTCTTTCAACTGTCTCTCTCTCTCTTTTTTTTTTTTTTGCTATCTTGTCCTTGTTTATTTTTATTTTATTTATTTATTTTTATTCATATGTGCATACAATGTTTGGGTCATTTCTCCCCCCTCCCCCCACCCCCTCCCTTACCACCCACCCTGCCCTCTCGATACCTGGCAGAAACTATGTTGCCCTTATCTCTAATTTTGTTGAAGAGAGAGTATGAGCAATAATAGGAAGGAAGAAGGGTTTTTGCTGGTTGAGATAAGGATAGCTATACAGGGAGTTGACTCACATTAATTTCCTGTGCCTGTGTGTTACCTTCTAGGTTAATTCTTCTTGATCTAACCTTTTCTCTATTTCCTGGTCCCCTTAACTGTCTCTTAATAAGCTACTTGACCTGTTCTTTTGGACTGAGACCTCCTTAGAAACAGTTACTACCCAATAGTGCCTGGTTTAGATGGATGCTCAGTGGTTTGGAATGAATGCATTATTTATTCTATGAATGACTATCTTGTGTGGCTTCTCTTCCTCACTCCTGGGGAGAGAATCAAACTCCTTCCCTATCTCTCAAGTTCTTCTTTACCCATGGTTCATCATCCTCATATCTATATCACCAATTTGCACATTATAGCCTCAGCATCCCACTGTCATTTCTAGCACAGCCTTTGTTTTATTACCTTCTCTCCTCAGCCTCCTCAGGCAACCCTATCTTGCTTTGCCCTAATATCTGTTCTCACTTCCTTTCCCTGTCCCTTCCACGTGGCATGCACACTTTGACATTTACATTGGTGATCTTACTTTGCCCTTGTCTTTCATTTTAAGTCAGGTCAAATCCTTTTGGTAAACTGTAAAATAATTAATTGCAAACAAAACATTCTTATTATTTTTTTATATGACAACTCAAGCTGCCTCATTGTTCATTAGAAACAACACCCCCACTGCAGCACACAGATGTTACACCTTTTTCATCACAGTATTGTTTTACTGTAATTGTGTTTTGTTCAAAGTTCTGCTTTCAGAGCTGTGATTGATTACCACCCTTACAGGATTTGACCCTCACACACGTGGAAAGGGTGAAGAATCAAAGTAGATGAGGTGATCCTCTCACACCCAGTCTCCTCACACCAGTTTCTACCTTTGAGACATTTCTAATCTGCCCAACCATATAAAAATGATATACAGGAAGTATTTATACAATAGTACAGCCAGTTCATAAGATAAAACCTAAAGTAAAACCATTTGCTCACAAACTATGAATTTCTCCAAAGCCTTGTCAGCATGAGTCACTTGGTGCAAAAAATAATTATGCACCTGGCTGTTCTTTTGGTGTGTCATCTTCAGAGATCCTAAGTAATTGTTACATTATAGTTTCCACAAAGATTTTAAGCTTGTTTTCCTTTTCATTTGTGTACTCTTGGGGTGCCCAGAGCAAGTCTGCACAGAGAGAACAGTTGGTGAACAACACTGGCTGACCCAGCTCTAGTCCTTGTCCTGGTGCAGGTGTACACCAGGAAGAGCTGAAAGGTTCCAGTGTTGTCCTTCCTCTCTCAGACTCCTGCGTCTCTGGGTAGCTTCAGCAATGAAAGTGACTTCCAGCAACCAAGTCGGCAGCCAGAGAACCCAATTTTTCTTCTTATTCTAAGAACCATTTTTCTTCTGTCTCTTTGCCAGCTCCACCCCTCCGGGGAGTCACAGCAGTAGATTGGTTATGCTAAACACTCCACCTCAGGGGTTCGATTTTATTTTTTTTTACAGCAACCCAGTCATTTATATAGTCAAGATAGACTCATCTTGAAACTTCACAAAGACATTTAATTTTGTTTTAAATCACAGCTCTGGATAATTTGTATCTATGATATTTCCAGTGCTTTCATGGATTCCCAGGGAATACTCTGCAATGCAGGCATCTCAAGTGCATGCTCTTTGTCACTGTCTTCCCCGAATGCTAATAGTGTGGAGCTAAGCAATTTGTATTAGAGAGTGTTGGTACTGTGTTTGGATATGCACTTTATAACCATAAAACTGATGTGGGAAAAGCAGATAAAGATACAGATTAAGTTAGAAACATTACTGGACATGTACAAAGAATGTGACATAGACCTTTATTTTTGTCTTTCAGTCTCCAGACCTGTGAAAAACACATTATGTTTGAGACCTGCCCCCTCAGCTTCTCAACTCTGCAATGTCCCTTGCTCTACAAATTGCATAGTATCTTCCTGGTCAGCCTGGGGTCCATGCATCCATGAAAACTGCCATGATCCTCAGGGGACAAAAGGTGAGTCCTTTGTGTGTGTTTCATTTTCTTCTAGTATACATGCATTTATTCTGCTAACTAAGTAGCTGATTAATCCTGCTTAAGACAATATTTGTTTGTAAAATTTAGATAACCAGCTCAAGCCTGACAACATTCATTTATTAGGGAGGCAACTGGGGACATTTCTGTGAAGCTGTCAATTTTGACCTTGATCAACTTTTGAGTTAAACTGTAGCTGATGAAGTGACTGCTGTTCAATTTGATGTGATTTAACATTATATTTACATGTTATATTTCATATATATATGATGATTATACTGAGGGAATTAGACATGATTTCTATAATCACATTAGAAACCAACTGTTTTGATTATTGATTTATTCATTTTTAGATTTCCACATGTAACATTTGATATTATATTTTAGACTTTTAAAAGAGACATTATGCTAGGCACAGTGGTGAATACCTGTAATCCCAACTATGAAGGAGATGGAAGTACGAGGATCACAATCTAAAGCCAACCTAAGAAAATGTGCAACTTTGTTGCAAGACCCTACCTGAGAAATAAACTAAAAGCAAAAGGGACTGGAGTGTGGCTTGAGTGGAAGAGCATTCTCTAGCAAGTGCAAGGTCCTGAGTTCAAAGCCCAGTACCACCAAAAAAATGTGGAAAATTTTGTAGATTGCTTCCTTTTTTATGTTTCATTGGGCTTAGAGTGATTTCTTCAAACTTTTTGTGCCTACTTGGTTTTGTAGGCCTTTTTAGCCTGGTTTTCTTCAGTTTGTGATTAAAACACACAAATCCATACTCAAAACTTCATTTCCATAAGCACATTGCTTTTTCTTTCATTAACCCTTTAATTATAATTCCTTTACATGTTAGTGCTAAAAAGCAATTAACCCTTTGCTAAGAGAAATGAGCTCCAAGTGTGTCCTCGAAGCTCTGCTGTATTTGCCAACCTGCATTCCAGTGACTACATGCACAGAAAGGACACAAAGCCCAGCACTCACAGCTGACATGCCTCTGTCCCCTGTCCCTGCACTCAGCTTAGTGCCACACCCATTTGAAAACCCACATTTCAGAGTCATCCCTGGAGTACTCACAGGCAATGATGTGCACGTCCAGGTTCACAGCCTAGGCCTCTAGACTGTAACTTCAGTTGACTCTTGTTCTAACATAGAGGAGGAAGATGTACATTGAGTCTGGGGCAGGAAGAAGCTAAGTATCATTTTTTTCATCAAATCATAGAAATTTGCATCTCAAGAGAACCTTGGGGGGGGGGGGGCTCATGCTATTCCTTTATTTGACATGTAAGCAGAATGTCTCTGACACTGTTTCAGTTGATGAACACAAATCAGATCCCATGAATACTCATACTAATATCAATATATGCTCTACATGTGTGATCAGGCATTTGCAATTATCTTGTAATTGCAAATGAGACTCCCACAGCTTGTATGTTCGTAAAACCCATTCTCCTATGTTGTATCTGTGTCACTCTTGTTGAAGGTCACTAGGAAACCAAGTGAAGTTGGGCTAAGACTCCCCAGTCATTCGGTCATGACTTACTCTGCAGGTACAACTTTGCTGCATGGAGTACTGATTTCTTTGCTTTCAAAACCTAGAATCCACAAAATGTCAATTAGATCTACAAGCGAAGGAAGGAGAAGGATTGCCAGAAATCATGAGAATCAAGGAAATAGGCATGGAACCCATCTTTCTGTGGATCCTTCAGAGGGAGTATGGCACCACTGACACCTTGATTTAGGGTTTGCAGTCTACAGACCTCTGAGACAGTGCATTTTTGTCACTTTAAACCACCTGTCCTGTAGTCCTTTGTTACAGTAGTCCCAGAAAACAAATGCAGCTCCCATCTTTGCATCAACATTTAGACCCTGTGAAGATACAACCCTGTATAAAATGCCTTCTCTTCAGTATAGTGTCCTCCAAGCACTAGCCTTCTTTAGCTGATTTCCTCCATACACTAAAGACATTTGACTCAAAGTACAAATCTGGCCCTGAGAAGATAGATCATCTGCCTGCTATGCACTGCCTTAGTCAGGATGAAGCACTACCATTGAGAGATAATCCTTGAGCTGCTGTAGGAGGTCCCAAGTGAGGCTGAGATGAGGCTTAGTCCAAGTGTAGTGTCACTGGAAGAAAAGGGAAAGGAGATTGCAGTTGTAGGAGAGAAGGAAGGGTGCAGGAACAACTTGAGAGCACTAGATAACTGCGCTGTGTGTGTTGTTTGGCACAAACAACAAGTTTCTCAGAGGCTCACCTTTGGAGCTGAAGGAAAGGGTAAGAGCAGTGGAAGCTGTTGTAGTTTTCCTCAGCATTGATGAGCATTTTGGAAATGAGAAGGAAAAGCCTGTCTTTGTAGGACCCAACACCTTCCAGGCTAAATCACAGACAGGGAGACTTAGCCTTCATGATTGTTATTCAGGGCTGGGAGTTGGCTATTTTAACAATACTTCCTTAAAACAGTGAGAATTTGGGGTTTTAAGGCCTTGTTAAAAACAGCAGGACCACCTACTTGTAATCCCTCTTGGGGAAAATAAACAATAGAGTTTTTCCCCTAGGGGAAATGCTTCTGTGCCTACAACAAAACAACTGTGTGGTGACAGTGATCATTTTGTTATTTTTATTGACTGATGAGGATGAGGTCTGAGATCTCTTCCTTCTCCTTCTTTCTTCCATGGTCATGCCATGGGTTCTGCCAGAATCACTGAATGGCACAAACTAAATGTACTTTAGAATTCCACAGAGGCTTGGGTACACGTTTGGGAAAATGCATGAAAGGTGGCAACTCTGGAACATCAGTGGGGTGGTTAGCTTCACATTTGAATTCCCTACTCTAAAAAAATGCAGCACATCCAGTAACAGAAATCTAAGATATGTCCCTAGATATGTTATACTTATGTGTGTGTATGTATATGCTATTTTAAATATATATAATTATATGAAATAAATAATATATTATAAATTATATGTATTCTCTGTATATATGGAGAAAGAAAGGTGGATGATTTGAGGGAAAACCAACAGGAAGAAAGTGGGAAGTTGTCTCCTCATTAGCCATTTTCCCTGTCACCATGCTGTTGCTTTGGTATGTTCTCTTTGTTCACATAGAAAAAATAGTAGAAAGGCTCATTTGTTTCCTGTTAAATAGGAGGTGTTTTATTACCTGATAGGAGAAATTAGTTATTATAGAAATTATCTTTGTATGACTGTTATTCTTAATCAGACACCCTTCAATCAGGCCTCATCTAAGTTTTGTGGCTGTCAGCTGTTTGGAATGCATTAGAAAATTATTCGATGTTCACAGACTTTGAACCCTTCCATCACATCAGTGACGGGCAGACAAGAGCAGTGCTCCGCAGGTTGGTGCTTGTCAAGTGGAGCTAGGGCACCTTTAAGAGGAATTTAAATTAGATCAGGTTTTATCATTTATTGCTTTATCTTTGAGATACTCCCAGAGTGTTACAATTAGAAAACTATGAAAGAGAATTAACCTGAAAAAATACTGATGGATAAACTACATGTAGATTGATGCATTTAAAAAACTTCTTCATGATACATAGACATAGATTTGTCTGACACCGTTGTTCATTTCAGACAAAGTCTAGAAAGGCAGCCATCTAAAAAGGAGTCTGATGTGAGACTTCTCTATGTGGCATTGCAATAGCTACTTGCTTATGTGGCAGGATTTCATGGATTCCTTTCCTCCATCAATATAATTTCCCCTTCAATCCAGCACTTAAGATAATAATAATACCCATAAGAAAAAACATTTTAAAACTGAGAAACTATAACTATTTTTTGAAGAGAGACTTTTATGTTCTGAAACAAATTAATTTAGATAACACACTGTCAGATAATGCTGACATGTCTTAGATATTTCATAACAATAATAGGAAAAAATTCCTTTTTCGATCTTTGCCTCCTAGAGAGGCTTCATCTTTAATGAGAAGCCCATAAAATCAGTTTTACTTTACCAGAAATAATATGTACACTAAGAGACATTTCTTCTTTTTTTATTTTTCCATGTCTATGTGTTGGGGCTGGCAGGCTGTGCCTACTTCTTACTCTAAGCTTTGAGATTTCTCATGCTGACATTGCCCTGTCAATGCTTCTTCTTATTTTCTGTGCCACCACAGGTTGGAAACTAATAATGATACTATAAAATGCTACCCCTGCAGGAATGGTGGGTGATAGCTAAAGAGATGGAATCAAACATTCATTCTGCTCAGGTTCTTTGACTCAGAGTTGTTATTCAATGTCCAGAGCCACTAGAGACAAAAAACAAATAGATTACTTAAAAAGAATAAGCTTCTGTCATCTTTGTTTAATCTGCTGGATATTTCTTCAAGCCTGCCCCAGTGGAATCAGTGAAGAGACACACTGTTGTTCATGGACACCTCTGTGGAAGCTCATGCAGACTCTTCCAGCCCAATAACACAGCAGAAAAATGCAGTCCTCAGATCTGGATACACCTTCCTGAATCTCATTTAATTCTTCCTTGTCTTTAATTAAAAAGCATTGGCCCCTCTACTTCCATCTGCTTTCTTCTCTTTGTTTCCCCAAGTCACTATTCATTCTTTTGTAATTATCTCCATAGAATCATAAAAGTGTTGGAGTAATAAAAAAAAAACTTTGATAATATTAGTTTCACAAAAAGTGAACAGGATCTATGTCAGGAAGTGATTATTATAACTCTCTGCTAATCAGTGTCTAAAATTCCATTTTCCAGTTTGTCCACTGCTGGTTTAAGAGGATGATCAATGGTATGTTTTGGGTTTAGTTTTTGAAATGGGTCTAAAATAAAATGTGCACAGGAGTACTTTGTGAGGAGAAAGAGCTCTCGTGCATTTCATACTCATTCATGTATTCAGTGATATGCTTTTAGAGAAGTTATAAAGCAAAGTTTACCCTTACTTTTCACATATATAAAATGAGGATAGTAGCTTATAAAATAGTTTTGAGGGTTTATCAATTTATGGTAATAGAAAGTGACTGCCCCAGTTTTTGTATAGTGTTGAAACTCAATATATACCTTTTTCCTTTGTTGGATTATGTGCTATGTGAAGAATTGATGTATGATTGCTGTCTTTCCTGTGACTTCCTACAGTACAGGACAGTGATCTGCGTATGGTAGTTAATATTTATTGAATGATCATATCTGATTAAAGTGGAATCCAGTAAATGAAGTGAGCAGTTGGCTGGCCTAACCATGGTGGACTTGGTTGCTGTATATCTTTCAGAACAGAACACCTGGGGGATGTTTGATGTCTATTCTAAGCATGAATGTCAATGTGTGATTAAAGTTAGGTACTAACAAGAATCCAAGGTTTTTGTTTTATGCTGAGCTTGTGGTATGATTTGATCCTAGTTAGAATCAGGACAAGGGCAGCACAAATGAAAGCCTGAAAGAATTTATTGATGGAGGAGATGCAATCTATAGATTTCTGGCAACATGGATGCAGTTGATTTATAGAAGTAAACTGCATATGCCCCTCAGTGGCATTAAGCTTAGGAATAAAACACTTAGAATCCCTCAGAAGAAACTACTAAGTTTCTGTGCTCTCCTCTGAGCTGGTTGTCAAACAGTGTAAATCATGAGGACCCACACTATGTCTTGCTTAAAGATAAAACTACAGAAGTATAAACATATGCCAACAAATAAGCAGTATGCAGGTGCTGCATGGAAGAATAGAGGTCATCCATGTTATATGGCAACAAAAACTTGGAGGTCATTGAAGTTTTATGTTCACCAAGTGTAGTTTAGAGCCTTTACACTCATCCCTGATTCTTTCCTTGAGGTGGTCCAGGAGGGACCCTGAGCCCTTCTGTAGGTTTCCTTTTGGTGAATGATGCAGACCTGGAGATATGAGGCAGAGCAGTAATTGCTTCTTTTATTTATTTTTTAAAAATTGGTCTTGACCATAACATTTTAAATGACATGAGAGTAGAGTACCATTGGCGAATCATGCTTTTGAGTAGGTCGCTGGTCCTTAAAGTGAGAGTTTAAGAGACTCTTTTAAAGGGAGACTACAGGTTGCCCTAGATCAAGAAAACTCAAATAAAACATTTTAACTGCTTATCTACAATATGTTCCTAGTCCTATTCTAAGCAAGTTCAGCTGCATGTGCTTGCTTCCTTGGTTGTGTAGTTTAAGAAGAGCCTTTCTTACAATACACTTTGAGCTTTGTACCCTTTCTATCTCATTATTAATAGTGATAAAACCGTGAGTGATGCGTCTGGGTTTCTTTCCTCTAAGGTCCCTGATTTGTCTTTTTTCCTTCCCTTGTGGGAAAAGTAGAGAGGCATCTAACTCTTACTTCCCCTTATTTTATTTACTTATCTCAGGAAATAAATAAATAAATGATGATTCTTTAAGATGTTATTCATACAACAGATTGATTTTTGAAAAAAAATGATTAAAGGAATTAAAGTGGTTGGTTGAATTTGGAGTAAAAACAATGGTAGATAAAATATGAGATCCATAAAAGTTAGACATAGTTTTAAAGGTTGAATATCATTAATAGCGGAGTGAACTTGTTCAAAGTATACTATACACAGCTATGGAATTATCATAATGAAACTCCTTATACTATTAATGTATGCTATTAATGCATGATAAAGCATTACATATTATGAGGGCCAGAGATTGAAAATGCAGACTAAAGGATTTTATCTGGTTCTTAGACATTTGTTTTAGGTCACTTCATTGTTGCTTTTGTTGTTTTTAATGTGATTTTGTTTCCATTATTTAAAACAATGATTTGGTATAAAACAAAACAAACTTATGTGTCTGGTTTCTTAGAGAAAATTGAAAGATATTAGGAGAGGGCTCATATTGTCTCATGACAATGGTCAATGGAAGCTGAATAATAGCCAAGTATTTTAGAACAATGCTTCATCCTTCCTTTCATCACAGACCTATCACTCTCGACGATTCTGTGGTTGCTGCCTTTTCCTCGATATGTACCTGCTTAACTCCTGTTCATGTAACTTATGACTTTGTGGGCCTGTAGCATGTAAAGAGCCATTTATATCCTTATTGTGGTCTCTGGATGGTGGGAATTTGAGGCCCTAATCCCCTAATACATAAATAACAACCACAAGAAGAAAAACTGAATAGTAGTTCAGGGACCCATGCTTAGCCAGGGTGGAGAATTAGGTCTAAAGATATGCTGTCTTTATAGAGCAGGCTAATGTAGAAATCTCAGTGTAGCACTGCAGAAAAGTCTCAAAGCAGGAAGCTGCAAATGGTCAGGCATTAGGGATTTGCCAAAGTGTGGACATATTTTAGCTTAATGCAGAGTAACAAGGGTGTTAAAAACAACAGAAAAAATAAAATGTGGATTTATCTGTGAGAAAGTCATTTCTGTGAGTCTTCCTTTATTTTACAGGATTATTGATAACATTGGATATACACTATTTATTTCATTTTATTTTCTCTTATCTTTCCAACATCTACTTGGTAAGTTCTTGAAAGACAGATTTTTCTGTTCTCATTCATTTCCATATTCCTTCTTCCTTCTACTTGTCATCCCTCCACTTCCCACAAAATGAAACACAAGACAATGCATGCGTTAGAGCTACAAGAATACATATAAAAGTTTCTTACCTGGCAGCTCCTTCTTGCCTTTGTTGGATGAGAGTGGAGACCTGTGAAACTTTTGTTCTTTTTCCTTTTAGGATTTAGAACAAGGCAGCGCCATGTCCTCATGGAATCCACAGGACCTGCAGGTCATTGCCCTCATTTGGTGGAATCTGTTCCTTGTGAGGATCCAATGTGTTATCAATGGCTGGCATCAGAAGGGATCTGTATTCCTGATCATGGAAAATGTGGCTTGGGACATCGAATCCTGAAGGCTGTCTGTCAGGATGAGCAAGGTATGATGCAATACAGTTGTTAAGTAATGTTGCTCAAAGGACACATCATAGCTCTTCAAAGATCATTTTCATTAGGGAGAGAGAAGCACATGCTGTACTATCTTTGGATATTTGTGATGTCGTCAAGTAGCTCATTGCTGCAAAGTGGGTTTTGATCAATTCATGTGGGACCACATACTCCATAAGAACGTTATTGTATTATTTCTAATAAATGTAGCAAGGTGAACCTAGAGAGTTCTTTGGAGCTTTTAATTTGTCAAGAGAAATTGAAAACAAATCTCCTGGATAGTCTTCAAAAACTTATCAATGCACACAAGTTTTATTTGCTTTATGTTGAGGTCAATGTATAACATGCCTTGACACATATTAACAAATGAGAGACCCTGTGAAGATGCCAGGGTTAAAAAGCAAAAAAACAAAGCTAAGTAAAATCTTTTTATTTATGTAACATTAGATTAGAGCCATTTCTAGACATAATGCTAACATTTTTGAAGAATCATTTTTCAATACAAACTGTCAAGATTTAAGAAATTATTATCAATGATGTCTTTCCTTAATTAGCAAATATGCATTTTACCTAATGAATTAATTCATGATTGTTTAATTAGATGGTTGTTTAATTGGAGAACAACAGATTATAATGTCTACAGTAAATAGTTAAAACTAATAGTGACTACTTCTAATATTACCAAATAATTTTTAAATTGTGTTAACACAAGGGGAATTAATTAACACAGGCAAATGCGATCACTTTCATATTGTTCTTCTTTGAGCTATATTGTAATTTATAATAAGAAATATATATTTTAGTCTTCATCCTTCATTCTTGACACAGTGATTCTGAAATCTTTGTAATTTTCTGAGCAGTAGGAGTGCTAGGAGAGTCTTTGGTTGTATTATTTAGTCTTTGATCTTGGTTTATAACATAGAACTCTTAAATCTCTTGGAATTTTCTTGGGTCATAGGAATGTCTTGTTCTAATGAGGTGGTTCTTGGTTGCTTCTGGGCTGGGACTGGTTATCAGAAAGATCAAGCTACTACTAAAAGCTTGGAATTTTCAGCCCTATTCTTCATCAAATAGGAGGAAGAGAAGGGTTTGAGGTTGAGTTAATTGTTGGTTATGGCTAGGTGATGACACCTCCATAAAGATCCCAGAACTCTGGGGTTCTGAGTTCCTAAACACGCAGAGATATAGAAAGGATGGTGTACACAAAGAGAGCATACATGCTCTACACCCATCCCACCATACTTTGCTCTGTTTGTCTCTTCCATCTAGCTATATCTGTATTCATTGTAATAGCTTTTATAATAATGCTATAAATGCAAATAGAGTGTTTCCCTGAATTCTGTGGGTGAGCCAGGTAGGCTACAGATTTTGAGAAAGGCTTTATGGGAATCCTGATTTAGGGATGGACTGTCAGCTGAGGCTTGTCCTTGTTATCTGAACTGGGAGAAATTTTAGGGGTTCGGGCCCTTAACTTGTTAGATTTGGTGCTATCTCCAAGCAGATAGTGTGGACATTGAGTTGAATTGTAGGACACCCAATTGGTGTTGGAGAATTGCTCGGTATGGAGAAATCTCCATATGGTCATAGAAATATGCTGTGTCGAGTGTAGTGTCAGAGTGAAGTGTAGAGGTTTAAAACCTGGCCACATATTGGAATTTTGACTGCCAGTTACCTGCTACATGGTCTAAGGAAACATCCCTTTCTTCAGCTGTCAAGAAAGGATAATTCCAGCTATGACGAAGGTGGAGATAGGAGGATTGTGGTTTAAGGCCAGCCGTGCATAAAAACTTTGCAAGACACCAGATCTTAGCACATAAACTGGGCATGTTGTCACATGTCTGTAATCCCAGCTATGTGGAAGGTGGTGGTAGGAGGATCACAGTCTGAGGCTGGTCCATCAAAAGCATGAGACCTTATCTGAATATTCACAAAATCAAAACGGGCTGAGTGTTTTGCTCAAGTGGTAGAATGCTTGCCGAGAAAGCACAAGGCCCTGAGTTCAAAATCTTAGCACTGCCAAAAACAGAGGGAATAATAAAATCTACCTCTGACTGTCCAGAGTATGTGAATTAAATTGGTTACATTAAAGTGATTAATGATGCACTCAGCACATAACCTTTCAAAGTAAAATTATAATGCACATTAACTATTATACATTGTCTCATGTAAATTGTATAAATAGTATAAATAGCATTCTTTTATATAATGATAATTCTGAAAATTAGGATAAACATAATGACTTCCTCCCAACTTTTAGCTAAGAAAACAAAATGATCACTAGCTTAGTTGGGTCCAATAACAATTATCATGACTTGTCATCTCACAGCAGGTACTAGAGAGTCCTCATGATAACTTATGATGATAGGGACAGGAATTTTGTTGACAATATATGTTCTACCTTCTTCAGTATTTAACTATACCTTGCCACTTTGCGAAGGGGAGTAGGAAGTAGTAAAGAGGTTTGGTAGAGATGAACCAATGTGGGTTGCAATACACATGTGCATAGAAAAAACACTGGGAATCTCTCTGTATAGCTATTTTTATCTCAAACTAGCAAAAACATTTTGTCTCTCTTATTATCCCTTAAGTTTTCTCTTCAACAAAATCAGAGAACAAGAGGGCAGAACAGGTTCTGCTTGGATGAGGGGCAGTGGTGGTGGTGGGGTGGAGATGGCCCAAACAATGTATATAAATGTGAGTAAATGTAAAAATGAAACAAACAAACAAACAAACAAACAAAACATTGCAGGGTTGGCTTAAGTGGTAGAGTACCCGCTTAACAAGTGCAAAGCCCTGAGTTCAAACCCCAGTACCACCAAAACATGCAAGAAAAAGAAAAACTATACCTTGCTATGGCAGCTTTAGAGATTTAGAGATTCTTTGCTTACTGCTGTGAAGTGATTAATTTTCAGCTTTTGATCTGCCCTGTCAACTTGAATGGGAAGAGTTGGAATTAATGCTTATATACAGCAGCTGTATGGAGTCTTTGTGGTTTTTAAAAACCCAGATGAACCTTTTCATTGTTTTTGGAGCAGCAGCCACAGACATGGTGATAGGAACATGCTGGGCTCCTGATAACTGAAGCAGTCTTGTGTCCAGTGAGAAACTGAAAATGTTATCTCTTTGTACTTTTTGTGATTCAGCTTCTGTGTGATTCTAGATGATTTATGATGGAGGTATGGCAGAGAAATGCTCTTGTCTGACTGTCTACTTGCTTTCTGGGTCATTGCATAGTTACAAGAATGACAAAACTGTTGACACTAATTTAAATGTGTGGAGAATAAAATGGTTTGAGACATATAGTCTTCTGTGACTTTTTTCTTATAATAGTTGATAGTTTGAGTTTTGTCGCTCTGAGTTTAGCAATTTTTCCAACCCTTCATTTCAGGATTTATTTTAAGCTAAATGAGTAAGATCAAAAAAATTGTCTTATATTTGTTTTAAAAAAACCCAGTGACTTTTATTAGCTTTAATCAGACTGGAGTGTCACCAAAATTTGCCAGGATGATTTGCTTTATTTCTTATTTTTGGTTTGTATCAACTGAGTCACCTGAATAGAGGTACACAGGAAGAATCGCTATACCCTTTGAAAATAGCAATGTCTTACTCAGATTGTAGAGCACAAGATTTCTTTGTAACCATAATCAGCATTTTCTAGAACCTTGATGACAACTTGTTGGGTGTTCTTCTTGCCATCAGGGAGAGAGATGCATTTTTCTTCCCCAAAAGTTAATTTGGAAGGTGTGATGGTAAATTTTGATTATCTACTTGATTGGATTAAGAAACAATCAAGATTAGTAAAGTAAATCTGGGGGTATGGCTGTAAGGGCATTTCAAGAGGTAATTATATCATTAAAGTATTAATGAATACTTTAATCCATTGATAGATTCAAATTTTGAATAGACTATTGTTTATGAACCTCTCATAGACAATTGAGAAGTGAGGCCTAGTTGGAGGAAGTAGGTGACCCAGGGTGTGTTCTTTGGAGTTATATGTCCTGTCCCCTTCCTGTGGCTCTGTGACTCTGCTTCCTGTTGCCATGATGTGAGCTGCTCTGCCATTCCCTCCCTGTCATGATGGGAAACATTAGAAACTGTGAGCAAAATAAATCTTTCTTTGTTTTAGATTGTTTATAGCAGGCATTCTGTCACAGAGAGAACAAAACTAACATAGACCACTACTGTGGAAACTTCAAAAGTACACAATCTATGTCACATTAAGGATGCTTAGTAACTGGAAATAGCAACGTTTATATGCCTAAACCTGTGAATCAGTTTAAGAATTTGATCTGCTTTGGACCATCTAAGATCCAAACACCATGAGTGAATTTCTACAGTTATGGAATCTGATTTCCACATCTTTGATTAGTGGAGTAACTTTGAGTTCTCTCCTCTGCACATCAGCTTATTATTAACATGGGTCAGTAGATTTTAACTGAGTATAGAGTGCATGTAGGTTATCCTTGTTTCATTGACAAGTACCTTTCTTCATTTCAAAGGAGACATTTGAAATGTAAATGAAGTGTGATACAAAAATGCAAGTCTAACATATTTCTCTCTTAGATTATTAAGTTTATTCATTGTAATTTAAATTTTGATTCTCAAACCTGTAACTGCTTCGTTGTCATGATGTTTCACTGGCAACTGAATAAGGTTTACCACTAAGTGACATCTTTGAAGAAGAGGCTGGGAAAATCTCCATAATTCCAGGGATATGGACATGGTTCCCGATGACTGGCAGGTGACTACTATTTATCATCTTTCATGTCTTTATGCTGCAAAGTCGGGAGATGATCCCACAAGGTCAATGGATAACGTTGATCTGCCTGATGGACCTGTCAGAGCCTGAGCATACAATACCTGCTTTGCCCCATAATTTACAAAGTAGTCTTCCTTAGAAACAAAGTAGTTCATATTTGGGCAAATATCTTTATTCAAAGATAATGCAACAGGGATTCTGTGCTTACAGAAAGAAAGTAATCACACTGCTGAG